CTACTCTCACATCTAAGGACTGCACACGGTGAAGCCGGAAGGAGGATCGCGCAAGATCTTCCTGGGAAGAGTGTTCAGCACACAGTTGGCCAGTGCACCTACAGAGGCTTTAGCACGAAGAAGCCCTGTGACAACACAAGGCCATATATCATAGCGGAGAGAAGGAGAATGGGGCTGTTGGCACCACGGGAAAGGTTTCTCGGCTGTATCCATTGTGCGACGCGAATATCAAAGATCAGAAGACCTCATTCGCCACTGCGTAGAAGGATTATAGTGGTGATCGTTTCGAACCGGAGATGATAACATTCGCATCGGAGACCAATTTCAAGGTGCTTATTATTGATTTTGGAAATAAGCACTATTTTGCGGAACATTTTTGTGATACAAGTTCATACTCATTGTAGTGTCACTAACGTGAGGGTTAGTAGTGGTTAAGGGAAAACATTGTGAGACTTCAGTTAATCATATCTGAGCTTGAATCATTTCGGTCTACGCAAGGTACACACCCTATGTCCACAGATTGCAGATGTGGAAAACGGAAACTGAGATTGCGCATGTACTGGAATGGAGGAGACACGCTGTAATCAATGATGAGAAGGGCATTAGAAAATACTACATATGTCACAAGTACTGACCATCTTCATGCGAAAAACCTGAAGAAGTTCCGATATTTGATAGATCTGGCGTTGTTAGAAGTCATAGCAAAGGAATAAGGCTTGGTCGAGAGTCTGAGATCACTACCAGACATTGTACTAAGGTGAAATTGCACCACTTCATCTTCAGCTGAACAGAAGTAGATGATTTAGGTTCGTGTTACTGAGATAGGATCAGACACAGCTTGGTACAGCGTCGCTCATGTCGGACATATTGTGACGGCTTCTTCGCTGCTTTTATGAAGAAAAATGGGGCACTATCAGCAATTAGGCCTTAACATTCCTACTGTATAGCGCAACATCAGGAAGGAGCAGTGCGATCCCAGTCGACATCTGTATTTTACCGCCAGTGACATAAGGAATACTCAGGTTGGTATTCGGAGCCGCTTGATGCTTGATGCTACTTGCAGTGTTACTGTCACTGCTCTTCACCACCAAGTTTCCCACTCCATCTAATAGGCCCCCTTGCACCACCTCCATCCCTTCATAGTGTGAGCCATTATAGAGATGCCTTTCTTTTCATTCAACGTGTTCCGCAATTGACCACTTTTCCTGTTCCCTATTTATCGCATATTCTGCCTTTGTAATAGTGAGCGTTTTTTTCCTCGTTGTTCTTCTTTAGCAGCCGATAATAAATGTCAATTGTCTCTGACGGGGCACGATTGTAGGAGAAGTAAGGCGAAGGAGGGAAACTGCCTCCTAGTTATCCCAATTACTCGTTGATGGGGTAAAGAGAGAGGCGACAGTTTTGGGGGGTCAGTCTAGGATGGGAAAGCATGAATTTTTGGGTTGCCAAGAAAAGACTGGGATGAGGCATCTTGTGGGGCGACACGTTGGTAGTTTATCTTGGGGGCGCGGTTGGTTGACCAAGCAAGATCTCATTCCAAAAAAGAGAATCCAAACATTACTGAAGCCTGCTAAAATGGTACAAGTGAGACGCACTTGGTACAAGAATCCCCAGGTCTTCAGAAAGTGGCCTGTACTAGCATTACTGATTGTGAGTACCTTGGGGCTGCACAAAGCGGAACTGCGCCCTTCCAGCAACAGCCATAGATTCTCACACTTATGTTAGTGCACACGCTTTTCAGAGGTCATGAAACACGTCGCTTTGCTTTGATCGCCATAACCGAACAGTCAAATGTGTGTGCCAATAATAAACCCTTAACCTTTGGCTTCCTATACATTGCCATCCTGAGTTTTATCAGTGTGGTTTATGATTTTCAGCCAAACTTCTATGAAATAATAAAGTTTTCTCACATGTGTCCTAATTTTCCTCAGAAAAATTTATGCAAAGTCTAGGACTCCTAGTATCACCGACTTGGAACCAGCTATAAATATTTTGTTCAGTTTGCTCGAGTGCTGTTGAGGCGCTTGATCAAGCTTTTCCCAATTCCAGGAGGTATGCCAGAAGCGTCTTCACTCCTTGGATGTAGTTCACTTTATTTATCTTCTCATTCTGCGAGTGCGCCATGTCGTCGGCGGCACCGAGCGGAAGCAACAAAACGCTCTTGCCTGTCAACTCCTGAAAACAAGGATTCGAGTAATTCTTCATCTGAAGGGATATATAATCTCACTAAGAAATACAAGGTGCTCAGCTCAAGACGACCCAGCGAGGAAAAGTTTCAGCACAGTTGCCATCGAGCCAGAAGCGCTAACGGCAATGGAAGCCGACAAAATAGTTGAGTCCTATACATATCACATAGCTTACGTGAAAAGGCAACAGCCGGAAAAAAATTTCTCGCGGACGAAAAAGGAAGACGGAATAAATTCTCTTAGGCCAGATACGCCCCTCCCCTGCCTCTCCTCTCTAAGCGACTAGCAAATACATCTCTTCCCCTCCACCCCAATAGGAGTCACGACAGCCCACCCAGCAAAAAACAAATCCACCCGCGGGATTCATCAGTATGCGCCTGATGCTCTTGGCTAAAAATTACGTTACAGTGAGTGATAAGACGACCCTGACTGGTCACATTTTACCAGCGTTCAAATTCGCGACTGGCCAGCGACCTCGCACGCGCGTGTTTGTGGGGGGATCGATCGCGCATCTCTCCGGGACTGCCATCGATTGCGTCGAACGCGCACTTGCAACGGGTGGTGAGAAATTAACGATACCTGGAATGTGAGCGTGATGGGAATGCTGCAACCTTCTCGGATGTAGTCGGGATCGACACCATGCACTAAATTGGAGATTTCAAATATTCGCTGAGCAGAGTGAAACGAACATCTCTGATATCTGCCGATTTCGCGACTTATTGTTAGCACAGCAGAAGCGCCGCGGTTCAACTTCGTAGAGCACCGGGTGCTCATCGAACCGCTGCACTCTCAATGAATATTACATATTACCCCAGAACAAGGTAAAGTTGCGATTTATAGCCATAGCATAAGAAACAGTAGGGATCCTAGCGGACACTTGTCTGGAAGGTTCTCCATAATAACAACAAAAGTCGTACCGATTTTCATCGCTCTTGCACCCGCCTTGAAATTTGCGTCGTTGGTGTCTGCTAGCCATGGAAGAGCGTCGTGACCGGGACTGGGTCTGAAAGTCGACTTTTTGGCTCTAGATTTGAGCAAGTGGAGATAATTATAATAATCTTACGTGAACTTATTCGGTGAACCTCGCTTCTTCCACAGTTCGTTCAAGTAGTCGATGACCATCTTGTTCACCTGGAAAACAGGGAATATCATCGGTCTAGTGGAAGCAATGCAAGGTTTCGTTCATAACTTTCGACGAGCGATTTGGTCACCCCACTTGCAAATCGCGAGACTGCGCTCCACCGCTAATCGTTACATAGCTGCCGCTGCAAACCAGGTTGCCTTCGCGATAGAACTCCTTTGGACATTTGCTTTGGTTCATAGATTACCAACATAGCGCGGTCATATCCGACAGAATCGCACGAATCGCGAGTATGTATGCGGCCTAAGGCAGAGTTAGGAGGGGCTGGATCGCTTCTTCACGATCCGCTCTCTTTCAAGTCGGCCTAGCCTTTCTCCACTCTGTACTCAGTTAAGAGGTATCCTATTTGGCAAAAAAAACCGGAATTAAGAATCTTCTGGGAAAACACTATTAAGCATAATCCGAGTCTAATTCGAAATCTTGTGCCCATGAATGCCCAGACAACACAGTGTTGTTCTCTGCGGATGCTTTGGTGTTAGGGGGCTGGGCTCGGCGCGGCGTCAACCCATTCACCAGTGAATGTTGAAGCAAGCAACTGACAACATTTGGTGGAGAATGGGTTGACGCCGTGCTAAACCTGACCTCTTGACACGTCCCAGCATCCGCAGCCTACCAGACTATCGGAAAAAGCACTACGTTCAAATCCGCCGAGCTTGGGGATCCTTACAAGGGAACTTTCCATTTTTTGCAAATATTAAGTGTTGGTCACTGATTCCTGTCAGTTGACATTCGGGAAGAATCAGAAGCTCAGAGTGCATATTACTGCGGGAGGAGGGATCTGGAGACTATGTTTGACACAATCAGCTTCAAGTTCCCTTAAAATCTGGTATCATTCCTGCGACTTCGATAAGAAGAAAGCTTATCAGACAATAATGTTGCAATATGAGCAGAATACGATTAACTACTGAGATATTCACCTTTTCAGGTTTCATATGTGGCACGATTCTGATCGAGAACTTGCCGATGACTTTCGATGGAATGACCGTTTTCTCGCCAGCTCCTGAGAAAGCGCCCTCGATACCATGAATTGACAAGCTGAAAAGGGAATATTATTATGAACTCCCACCAAACAAATGCTCAGTTGTCGCTGACCATGGCTCTCTCCATCGCCTTGTGAGCAGGGTTTTCTTGTCTTCTGTTGGTAACTGTTTTGCGCCGACGCTTTCGCGGAATTCCTTTACGCAGAAGTCGATCGTCTCATAAAGTTTATGTTCCTCCGCTGACATGGGCGCAACATCGTCATAGATTCCTAAAGGTACAAGTGCTCAGATATCGCATGAACAAAGGCATAAAACACTTCAAAAACAAATATTTCTCAAAATATGACCCGTTTTACTGAAAATAGTGGAGGTGCATCTTTTAATCAGGATTTCCGTCCATACGCGTGTTCACTCGGATGATTGGGGCGTGTTAAAGGGAGGGCTTGAGCATGGCTCCACCCGCTTTTTCCTTTTCTTTCAACGCAGAAAGAATGTATGATATCGTTCGTATCTGTCGTTTTCTACCAGTTGTTGACGCTTTCTCACTTCAACAGCTGCTAGAGGACGGGTTGCAGCGGGCCAAGTCCAACCTTAGTGACATGCCCCTTCTTCTGGAGCGGATAAACTGTAGTTGGTAGATCTCGCATGGATTCTGTAAGCTTACCAGGGATCATAATTCGGTTCTCCACTGTTGTCAACTGAGATAGCACCCAAATGAGATCTGCCAGTGGTTCGTGCCTGAACGAAAGAAGAATCAAAGCTTCTGATTGCGGCACCACCTTGTGCTTACACTTGATATCGTCGCAATGAGGCGGAACGGTGTCACTGGGCACGGAATGTTTCCGCCCACGGTGTTTTAACCACTGGCTGCTCTCCATAGAACCGTCAGTAACTGTTCACTATTGGTAGAAAAGACAGCCCGAGGCGAGCTCATCCCACCTCTCCGACACCGGTCCGACTGATCGCGACAAAACCAGTTATAGACTTCAGCACAGTTTGATACGGGGTAATATACAATTATGTCGATGAACTTACACAACACCTCCAAAAACTCCTGAATGCAGATCTTGCTGGTATTCCAGTCACTTCCACATTGAACGAACAGATCCCTCTGAAACTCGCAATCGGTTACTTTTGAGTTGGCGAAAATCCCATAGATGTCCTACAGTTATATCGTGCTCATTGTTTTCAACTGGCTTCTTATGGTTAGCTTCATCGGCACATGCAGGTTGAGAACGATTGGGGGGGTTGGCATTTGCTCACTGACCCTCTCCCGTCACTTTGAAAAAAGGCTGCATTTCGTATTTTCTTACCTCAATCCATGAGTAAGACATGGTTTTGTCGTTCCCAGCCAGTAGCTGTCCGATATGCA